ATGTTTTCAGACCAATTCACAATGCAAATCCATGAGGTGAATAAAACATTATTTGGCAAATAATGTTTTATTAAATGATTTGCTTAATCAGGAACCAATAACCTTTAGTTACCGTAATGACTCTTTACCCTCTTTGAAATAGCTAGCAGCGAATAGACATCAGGATTTAATCCCGAAAAGGCACTTAATCCCAAATTGCCTACAAATCCGTATATATCGTTGTCTGAATGAATCCACAATGGAAAGAGTGATTGGGTGACTGTGGCTATAATGTAAAGTGCTACAAGTGTTTGGTATGTAAAATAAACAAAACAAAAAGAATTTTTAATTTTTTTTCTTTCTTGCTGTTGTAACTTAGAAAAAGATGATCTCGAGTTTCTGGAGATTAACAATCAAAAAGCTCAGAGCAACTCCTTTCCTTATAACTTCACCACCTGTTTTTCTGCCATGTATAACTTCACCAATGTCTTGCAGGTAACTTTGCATCACACAAACAATATGAATAATAATTAATGTTTTGTTGAATTAACTGATAAGAAGAAAGGCATACATTCTCTTTATTCTTAATTATTTTATTACATAGTAACATCCTTCAATACAGAATAAATTTGAAAGCAAACAATGTTATATCTCTAAGCTAAATCTTCTCAGAAAATGGGTCTTTCAAAATGTTCTCTGTGCTGCAGCTGGTGCAGACTTTGGAGATGCTTCAATTACTGGGAGTGAACAGAGTCGTGATCTACAAAACAAACTGCAGTGCCGAAGTTCAGCGTGTGCTGGAATATTATTCAGGCAAAGGTACATTGTTAATATTAATATTTGTGTATGTCCTTAAAAACACCTTATTATCACTCCACATTTTTATTAAATAGCAATTCAAATTAAAGTACAATAACATTGTGAACCTCAGCATTAAAAAGCTCAGCTTACTACTTTAAAGTTTAACCCACACATACATATAAACACAGCCCTGGCCCCAGACAATTGTCTAAAAATGCTATGAAATTTATACGTGCCAAGAGACCCTGGGGAGCAAGCAAATTTTTGTCACCAGCGATGGGTAATTATTAGTTAAGAGGGTGTGGTCAGGACATGGCAGTGAGCTTAGCTGAGTTATATTTAGGTAAGGACAGTTAATAAAAAGAAATTATTCTTCAACAGGATGTAAGAAAGCACATACAGTTAGTCACAGTAAGAGAAAATATGCTACACTGAAAACAAAACTGGCAAAGCATCTATAAGCAAAGGTTTTGATGGCAGCAGAACAGCTGATATTTAATTCACGGTGCAGATTGGACTCATGGTTCAGAGGCTGGACAGAAAAAAAGCATTGCATGGAGGTGAACTGGTAACTCCACATCTCACACCTCTGCCTAAGATAGTCTTAGTGATTTTGGGGTGACTTACCATGGATAAAGACAAAAAAACATTTAAATTCAGCACTCATAGGATTAAAACCAAGAATTTCTTGTTACAGGGCGACAGTCCCAACAGCTGTACATATATCATGCGTGACAGGGTAACAGCTTCAACCAAATCCTTTCTCTTTTTTCAGGTTTAGTTGAGGTGATTCCTTGGTCTATGGCAAAGTATCTCAAGGTGTCTAGAAGAGCGTTTTATGATAGAGACCCTGCTGACATCCACTACTTTGCTCAGATCCCCGCTCTCAATGACTGCCTTTACAGATACATGTACCAGTCCAAATACATGGCCCTACATGATCCCGATGAGCTCATACTGCCACAGTCAGTCAACAGGTAGAGTTTTTGTTTCACTTTGCTTGGACTTTATACAGTAAAATCTTTCATCCATTTAAAACTCAGAAGATAGTTGTTAAGTGGGATACTCCTGAATGTACAGAGTGTAATAATAACAGGGATCTACTGACAGAAATGTAATATATTATCCACGTGTATGTTATCATAACCTATGAACTGAACTTCTTAGTCTTTATATTTGCCTTCCCTTAGAAATTGCTATTTATACAGCGATTATATAGTAGACAATTCTATTTTGTTGATGCAGACGTCTACGGCAGAGCAGAGCTGACAATCTAGTGACTGTAGAGATTCAAATTATGCTTGAATGTGAGTGTGGCAAGTTAGGCCTATATATAATCCTACACAGACTAATAAAATACTATGTAGCCCTCACTTAAGCAATGTTAGTAACTAAGTGAGTTTTGGGTTCTTTGCTTCAGTATACTCTCTACTTTTTAATGTAAATCTCTCTCTAACGCTTTTGAATCAATCAGCATTGAACACAACTACATTAAGTTACACTACACACCGTGTGAAGTAAACCATAATAACCCTTCTTTAATTAAGCAAAATAAAAATAAAATAAGTAAATGACAGGTTTTTGGGTTCAGGTGAAACAGAAAAGACAGAGCATTGCTCCAACTGTGCAATAAATCTGCATATACAGTGTAAAACACCAGGTATACAACCCACTATTCTAAAAAACTAAACCTAAAGCCGGCAGAAAATATACCCTACGTTGCAGGCCTGATCAGCTGCTCATGGTTCTTGCAGTCCCACTGACTCAACCATCCAGAGCCTCTTCACTCAAAGAGCAAAAGATTAAACTACAACTCAGTACCTTGTATAATCGTGTTTTCCACAGATGAGTCCAGGCAAAGCGATCTGAAGAAACAGCAGGTCAGGATTCATGCAGTTGTTTGGTTTCTGTGTGCTCTCCACGTGCACCACATCTACTCGTCCTCAGTCCCACGTTGCCAGAGGTACTTTGAGTGACGCGGGCGCTCAGAGTGACTATCTGGAGTCCGGGTCCTTGTTTTCCCACGTAGCCAGAGGTACTCTGAGCGACGCGGGCGCTCAGAGTGACTATCTGGAGTCCGGGTCCTTGTTTTCCCACGTAGCCAGAGGTACTCTGAGCGACGCGGGCACTCAGAGTGACTATCTGGAGTCCGTCCCTCGTTATCCAGTCCG